CAGCAATTCCCCCAGCACGTGGCCTTTGATCAACTCTCATACAAACGCTAAAATGTGTGCCTGCTGCTAGCAAGATGGGAATGACATTAACATGGTACTCATAAAACAATCAGAGCAGAGAAGCCCTCAAACAGGCAGGGCATAGTAATATTTAATAAAAGCACACACATAATCTTCAGAATTAGCATTTTGTGCCTTGCAGTACCTTTGGGAGAAGAGCTTTTATTTGTGGAGTGATCATTATTATAACAAAGAAGAGCTACCTAATAATTTCCACTTTAACTCTGCAATGTGCCATGAGCATTTCAGAGCCATTATGCTAAACTGTGGTAGGGTAATCATGTTATTGTCATAGTTTGAAGGAAGGAAAATCTCCTCTACTTTCGTGGCTGGTGAGGGGTGGGGGAAGGGATTTAAAAAAAGAGGCAAACCCCACCCCCAACCCTAAACTTTTATTTTTAATGAGTTTTAAAACCAGAAATTGGCTCACTGGCCTTGCGGATACTTAAGATTGTGAAAATTCATTGGGGAGGAAGAAAGAATCTTGTATTAATTAAATCAAAACTGTGCTGGTAAAAGTGGTTTTCTATTCAAATATCGCCCCCACATTCCATAATATTTTCTTGGAGATAGAGTTGTATTGATTATCACATCCCTGTGCTGAATTGAACTCTTTCATAAATCTTTTCACAGTCAAATTCCACTGAATCCATCCACTGTGACTATTAAAAGTGATTTTCCCCTGTCTTCTCTCTGTTTCTCTCCGGGTATCCCAAACGTAAGGAACAAGTCCTTGGCTGCTTTGGATGTTGTCTGAGCTTTCTCAGAGAAAACATATCCAAAATGAGGAGAGAAGAGGAGGCTCAGGGTCAGCACAGCTGTTTTGTTTGTTTTATTTTGCTTTTTTAAAATGTAATTTTGCTCTAAAAAGTACAACTGTTCTCTCTCATAGAATTAAATGTTCTGCTGCTACTTAATTTTTTTATTATTACATAGTACCTTAATTTGTACACATTGAAACCATTTAAATCATACAGATATATAGGGAATAAATGTTAATAGTCCTCCTTTTCTGTCAACCGCAGTCTAGTCCTTTTTATAAGGACCCTCTGGGGAAAGTTATGTATATCCTTCCTTCCAGACCTTTGTCCATCATACCTGTTCACATATAACTGCATGCATACACATACGAGTGCATACACAGGTTCATATATATTATTTTAAAATAAACTTAATTACACTGTTCTTTAGTTTGCAAATTGTTTTTTTTTTCACTTGCTAACCTATTCTGAAATCTTTCCATATCAGTTTATAGAATTGTTTTGTGGATTTTAATGACACTCCTAGTATTCTATAGTATGAATATACCATAATTTCTTTAACCACTCCCCTATTGGGAGCACCTAGACATCTGAATTTTTTGCTGTCAATACTGCAGTGAACATTTGGGTACCTATAGTTTTAGCCACAGTTGCAAGTATTTCCAGGTCTGCTTTTAGCCTGGCAGGTGTGTCATGAGTAGGGTTACAATGTAAAATAGCAGCCCGTGAGTTAAAGCCAGCCCACAAACATTTTGTTTGGCCTACGCATTAAAAAAATACTGAATTCGTTTCCAACATTTAAAGATTGAAAAATTTGATATGAAAATGTGGCTTCCTTGCTTCTTTGGAAAGATCACCAGAGACCCAGACGACGCTAGGCCTGCATTTTTATGGGGCCACCAAAGGCTGAAGCTGAGCAGTGCTGCCACCTTTCCCTGGGGCATGTGCAATTCACCAGCACTTCCCATTGCATTATAGATGTTGAAGGTCAGTGGCCATTCGTCTCATGCTTGTTCTGACAGCCTGAGCTGCTGCATTCATTTGTATGTCTTGCCTTGGTCTACATGAGTCTGTGAATTCTTAACAATAGCTCTTGGGCCTGATTCTCTTTTTCCTGGTCACAGTGTTTTCTACGTTGAATTATTGACATTTTGGGGTTCTTCATTTATGGGGACTATCCCATGCATTCATGCATTGTTGGATACTTAGCATTCTTTTATTTATTTATTTAATTTTTTTTAAGAGACAGAGTCTTGCTCTGTCACCCAGGTTGGAGTACAGTGGTGCAATCATAGCTCACTGCAACCTTGAATTCCTGGGCTCAAGCAATCCTTCTGCCTCAGCCTCCCCAGGAGCTAGGATGACAGGCTTGCACCTAGCTAGTTTTTAAAAAACCTTTCATAGATATAGTCTTACTGTGTTGCCTGGGCCAGTCTTGAACTCTTGGTCACAAGAGATCCTCTCACCTTGGCCTCCCAAAGTGCTGGGTTTATAGGTGTGAGCCACTACACCTGGTTTGACCTCCAGTTACTAAATGCTACCAGTTTCCCCTCCTCATCCTCTCTCTCTGGGATAGCTCATGATTCCTTTACATGTTTTTTCAAATTCATCAGTGGGGAGGTGCCACAGAGCTTCCGCTCAAGACTAACATTTATAACAAATGTATAGGAGGAGTTTTGGAACCCTTAGAGGTCTAAACGTAGAAAGGTCTGAATGACTTACCTGCTCTAAGAATAGCATATAGTCTCAAAGCAGGGATGGTGGACAGTGCTGAGTATAGAGGTAGGATGGACTGAGGGGTGTGTCATTCTTCCTGGGGTACTTCCCTCAAGGCTTTATTTCTCTAAAACTGAGAAGACGGTGTCAAATATTGTTTCCTCACCTGGTTATCTCTGGAAGCTTGATGCTCTTTCTTGCCTCTGAGGCATTGACATATAGCTTTGCTTCTGGAAAATTGCTCACAGTATTTGAAAACATTGCAACTTTCCTTGGGAAGTGTTTGAAAGCACATACACACACATGCATGTACACCCATGTGACTTCTGTATCCTACGTATAACAAGTGGAAAAAAGAGGGAAGGGGTCAAGTTCAAAACTAGCAGGTCTTGGTCATGCTATTTTAAGGCCTTTCCTGTAGGAGGGTTTCTCAAAGATGCAGAAATACCCCCTTCCACCTCCGTTTGTGCAATGATGAGAAAGCCTGCAGGAGACCATATTTAGCTAAAGAAATATGCATGTGTGATTAAAAAATAACCCAGAAATTCCAAAGCTAAAACTGATAATAAACACTAAGACCATTTTGCAATCTGTGTGGGTAATCTCAGGGTCAGCAATTAATGACCCCATTGGATTCCATACTTTGACTCAGGCAGGACTCTCAAGACCAATTCAGTTAAACCAATATCCTCTTCTTCTCAGAAGTACTAGGGATATTGTAACACCTTTTGTACTCCATTCCAGCAACTAAGTAGATTGAGTTATAAATTAAGAATTGATATTTGGGGACATTAACAAAATGTTTCCAAACTGCATATATTTTTAGAACTTTAGTTGTTAAATATAGTTTATTTCTCTTGTAACTTGCTTCAAATCATACATCATATTCTATCACTAGTTTGGGAGTACTTAATTATGGATTTAAACATTTTTTACTTTTAAAGGTCACTTTTGTTTAAGAAAAAGCCCTATGCTTGTGGAACACTGATCACAACCTCTATGTATGTTAAAAAATCAGACAAGAAATGTCAAGTCAAGTCGTGAATCATTTACATCTTCTTGATTAATTATTTTGTTTTTGGGAGAAAGTAGAGGAGAGAAAAGTCATCTGAACTGCCCAGTTTTAGTTGTAAATGCATAGCTGTGAGTTCAGCCAACATGAAATGTTTAGTTTGGATATTTCCAAATTTCTCTGTGCAAATTTTTAAGATTAATTTGAATCAAAATCAAACCCATTCTATTTGTTTGTGTGGTGGCACGTGAGCAATGGTCCCACCGGGCTGGACTTAATATTTTCTTTCCTTCTTGCAAAAGTTAAAGCGTGACATTTTGCCAAACTTGACAAAGTCCAAATATTTTTTTGCCAGTTTTTTTCCCGTTAAAATTAACTAGTGCTCTCATTGGCTTCAATGCTCGGAAAGTCAGTCTTGGATACTTAATAAATTTTTTTATTAAAGATGAAGGTCCTATTTTCTCTCCTTGAACAGTATCTCCCTTACTTTAGGATTTTGCTTTCTTGTTGTTCATAAAAATAATCATGAGAACAGGAGCATGACATTGTAGAGTTAAAAGTCCTCAGTGGCACGGAGGTGCTCTCTGAGAGATTTTAAAAACCATCCAACAATGACATTTATGCCCAGCAATTCTGTTGAAAGTATGCCATGCTCATTAAACAAACCACCTCCAGTCTATTTGGAATCACAGTATTTGCAAATTATTTCCCATCTCCAAGGGCCATTTATAATGGAAAGAAAAGAGATATGAAATTTTGAAAAAGTCAATTCTAGGGTTTTATGCCTGGGAAAGACAGCAAAGCAAAGGTCATGGAAAACTCTGCGGTTGAGCCCTGACTCAGCTTTTGGTTACATAATTCACCCCGAGTGACCTGCATTCTTCGCATCTGTAAAATGGGATCTATGACATTTATTTGAAAAAAAATCTTAATGATTTTTAATGAGACATGTTGCAATGTTAGTGTTTCAGACAGAAGGCGTGGAGCAAGAATCATTTCCTGCTCCAGGCTCCGCTCTTTCTTAGCTTCCTATTGGATGGTAATGTTTATCTAAAAAAATGTAAGTTTTCTTTTCAGGAGGTATATTTAACTATGAAGCAATTCTGTAAGGTTTCCAATATATTCCAGAAAGTCACCCATTTTTAATAAAAAAAAATCCTTAGCAATTTACAAACTAAAATTTGCTTTGTGTTTTAATAAAGTTTCAGGTTTGATAAAGATTTGGGTAAAATATATGTATCTGAATAGAAACAATGAAAAGAATGCTTTTAAAAACTGAAGTTGCACCCTGAAGTTTCAGGTCCTAATGTGGCTAGGAAATGCTGAGATCTTGAGGGACTTTCTGTTAGTGAAAAGATAAAAGATTTTTTTTTTTCCTTTTTCTCAAGTCTTCATCATTAAAGTTTGGTTCTAACAGCAGACTCCTTCTCTTTTTCATGTGTGTTGAAAAGCAGCTACTCCCTGTATCAAAGCCATCAGCCCGAGTGAAGGATGGACGACGGGAGGCGCGACTGTGATCATCATAGGGGACAATTTCTTTGATGGGTTACAGGTCATATTCGGTACCATGCTGGTCTGGAGTGAGGTAGGTGTTGTCTGAACATTAATATCTAATAGCTTGATCTACTTGAAGATACTGTCTATGCTTGAATTTCTAATAGAATGTGTAGACTTTAGTGGTGCCTCTCTGGGTGGGCCAGCTTCAGTCTACAGAATTTGGGGAAACTGGAAGAGATGGTTTGGGTTTACCAGGAGGCAACAGTTACTACTTGAATGACTTCCATTCTTTGGCCCATAAGCAATGGGAGAGCTTCTGTTTAGAAATTTGTCTTCTTGGGCTTGCCATGGTGTGGAGGTCCTATTGTATGCTGGAAATTGAAGAGGAGATGCAAAGTCACAAGATGTATAGAAAAAGCCTATTCACACTTTAGCAAGGGTGTAATCTGTGGCTATTTTGTAGAAAGAGTACTGTAGCCTGATCTTCGAGGAACATCATTCAATGGCAGCATAATCCAGGTGAAGGTGGTTCTTGACTTATTCAATGACTATTCACCAGAGAGAGTGATTTGCTGGGAGAACCTAGAACCACCAAGGGTTTTTTCTAGCTCTAGGAATTTACAACTCTCAAGCATCTCTGTGTGTGACTGCAACCCCTTAAAAATGACTAAGTTCTAATTGTGCAGTTCTGTCCAAGCACTGTGATTGTTCTTTTAACCTACCAGTTGACTTGTCTGGCAACCATCAGCATCAGCTCAAGATTACAAAACATGTGCATCCTGTTATATAGATGCCATGGCAAATCTGCCATTGTGTTCTCAGTTCTGAGCCCCAGTTTCTTGGCCAGCATGCTCCAAGCACCCTCTTTCACTTCACCAAAGTTTAGAATAAAAACAATGTTAGGGCTACAAGGTACCATAGGGTTCATTCATCCCATTTGCTTTGTAAGCATGTAGTCATCCTAACTTACTGAGACTTACCATATACTAGGCAATGTGCTAAACCTTGAGATAGATCATTGCACCCTTCTTTCTATACTACGAGTAGATACTCTTAGCATATTTCTTTTCTTGATAAGGATACTGAGACTTCGAGACATATTTGTCTCATAGCCAGAGAGCAGCTGCCCAAAGCCTATAGAATGTAACTGATTTGTATATGGCCACACAAAGATTTCCATTTCTAGCTGTGCTCCCATGACACTGGTTTAACCCATCTAGATATTTTCTTTGTGTTGTTTTCTCTCTAGAGGGGCCATACAGATGAGCAGAAAGTTAAGACTGTGATAGTTGGGTGTGTTTGTCTTTCTACAACAGAGACTGTTCTTCTTTGTAAGCCTTCTGTGTATACTGCTTACTGCCTGTAACCCACTCAGACAAACCCCTTGTTAGCTCGTCTGCTACTGCCTTGGTATTTTCTATGCAGCAAACAAGGGGTATGCATTTGGTCATAGAATCAAAGTTCTCATAAAGCCAAATCAGAGATGAACTTCCCAGCCCACCCAACTAATTGTTAGGCAAGTTGGAATATTCCAGGTATGAAAGGTGGACTAAGTTCCCCTTGCCCCCTGTAATCCATTTTTTGTTGAAACTGTTGGGTTGTAAATTAGAAGCATCAAATTCATGGCAAGTTTTGCTGCTGCCAGCCTGGTGTCTTCATCCTGCTGGAGACAGTAGTCTCACGAGGACAGCTTGTCCCAGGTCTTGTGGGCTGTGTCTTCCACCTTTCCCATCTTTCTTTCTGTTGCTTATCTCGGAAGTTGGGAGATGGGAAGAGTAAATATAATATGGACTCCTTGCTTCATGTCATTGCAGTCAAAGCGGAGCTCAAAATTGGCATTAAATATTACTGACCCTGTGAGAAGAAGGTGGTTTGGTCTGAAGCTTCCTGTAAAACCTTGTGCCTTCTTAACCCAAGTGTACTCCGTTGAATATGGAATAAGAACACATCAGGAAATCATTCATTTGCGTCTCTGCCTTGCGCTTAATCAAGGTCCCTCTGTTTTTTCTCACTTTCCTACTTTCTTGACCTGTTTTGAGAACAGCAAAGGGAGGTTAGCATGTAACTTGGATTTATTCAAATTGCTTTAAAGGATCTGTTTCTATATAACAAAATTGATGAAAGTCATGGGAAGGAAAAACCATTAATGCAATACCTTTGTCCTTCTCCCTCCTCTGTCCCTCCAGTGCCACTGCCTTGTGTGTGCCAGGAGCCCCTCTTCACTCTGTCCCAGGAGTCAGGGGGGTCCGCCAGCCAGGAGCTGAGGGTGGAGGATGCATACTCCTTCATTGTCTGGCCCCTGCTTTCAGACTTCTCTTGGTTGTAGCTATGTCGTAAAACAACTATGACCCTGTCCTGGTGCAAACTGTTTCCCAAAATATTTGTGCAGATATTCTTTTAAAACAAGCAAATGCAACTGCATTAGCAGTTGGGTACCTGGGTGTGGACTTTAAAATTGGGCTGTTATCATGACTGTCCTATGTTCAGACTAATGAGCCTTGTGGAAGTGAACCTTTTTTTGTAATATTCTAAACTATTTCTATATTTAGGTTTTCATACAGACTACTTGGCACACACAATTTTCTCTGCCTTTTCATTCAGGGAGAGAATTTGATACTGCCCCAAATCAAGAAATCCATTGTATAATGTGAGAATTGAGAAATAGCTCATACTTGCTAAGGGTTCATCATGTGTAGGCACTTTATGGGTATTGCTTTAAGCCTCACAATAGCCTTGTATTCAATACTCCTGTTATTCTAATTTTGCATATGAGTAAACTGAGTTTCAGAGAGTTTAAAAAGCTTGCCCAAGGTTACACAGCCAGATAGGACTAGAGATTGGATTTGAACTATACCGTATTGTTTTTACGAAGGAAGGAAAAGTCCTAGTTAATAAGAGAGCATATGCAATCTTGAGAGAGGGAAGTATGACAGAAAGAGGAAAGAAAGAAAAAAAAAAAAAAAGAGGTTTCATCAGCCAGGTGGTATAGTAGTAGAAAGTAGTAATAGTAATTGTAGTAGTGATGATGGTTGTTTTTAATAGAATAAAATTACATGAGTGCCTTTTATTTTTGTAGAAGCAGAAAAATATTAACCAAGTTTGAGGCCATTTGTCAAGGCCTGCATTGTATAGAATCAGAATTTGATCAGAGGACATCTAAGAAAAAGCTATAGAAAATGCAGAGTGTGACTAACATTAGCTAACATTCATTCACTGAGCACTAAGTTCCTGCCAGGCAGTATGATAAATGTTTGGTAGCGCCCTTGTGGGATTCTCACCATTGTGTATGATGTTGTTCTCATCTGATCATTCCTCTCATGATGAGGAAATTGAAGCTTGGGGAAGTTAAATAAGTGGTTCAGTTATCAAGTGGTAGAGAGATGGGACTTGAACCCAAACAGTCCAACCCCAGGGTTTACCTTCTTAACCTTCCATAATTTAGCCTATACCACCATTTTTATCCTAGGGTGTTATCAGATCAGGGTGATAGGCTCACATTGCCATGATGTCTTGTGCTGGGGGTGCCTTAACAGTTGCTGTTACCTTCCAAGGTCAGGTAGAATTGGCATGTACAGACTCAGAGAGGTAAGAGGGCTTCCCTTCATCTTCCAGTTGTATATGTTTGTGATTGGTGCCACCGGATTCTAGGTAGAATTTATCTTTATGAAGTAAAGGATACATGCCTGTGCTAGGGCAAGACAATTAACCTGTTTAGCCTCATCTTTAGAGCTGGATCCCTGTCCATCCAAAGTCTTTGCCCCAGACCACATGATCTTGAGGTTTATGCCATCTCTAAGATCCAGGCCTTCTAATTTTAAGTAGACTTTTATCACTTCTGCATTTCCTTGCTGTATAGCCCAACACACCCAGGAAGCAGGCCGCCAGTCTAGGACAAGTAGATAACATTTTAGATTAGCAGCTAATGCCATTATTTAGAGTCTTTTTTTAGCTAAAGAATTTTTTAAAGAGCCAGAGAAAATCAGGCTGGCTTAATTTAGTCTAATCTGTGCTCTTCCCCTAACAACCCAGTCTTCTGCAAATGAGTAGTTCAGTTTAACTCATGGATCGCCCCCTGAGGGGTGGGAAGAAGAAAGGGGCACTTCGTTGCTCCAGAATTCAGCTCTGCCTTCTGCGAGCCTCCAAGTTCACATGGCTTTCTTGTGAATTTGATTTGCCCCCTTCCTCTTTTTTTATTGTTCTTGCCCTTTCTCCTCTCCTTTTAGAAAGTAAATTATTTTACTATTATTCTTGTGCTCCTTGCCCTGTCCTACTCTAAAAGTCTTTGAAAAAATTGTTTTAGTGTTTTATATACAAATCTAGGAAAACTAGCGGGGTTGATGTATGATAATGTTTAATGTGGGTTGAGAATTTTTTCTTGACCAGAGCCGTGCTTGATTGTTTTGCCTTTCTACCAACAAGTGATTTGGAGCAGGGAGGGGCTCCTGCTTCTGGTTTGTAGAACTAATTGTTATTTTAATATCTCCTCTGAATTCCTCCAGTTTCTAAACAGTGAGCACTGGTTGGCTTGCCTGCTGGGTGTCTAGCAGTGGGATAGGTACCATAGGTAATTAAAGTCGGGCTTTGTGGGATCTGGTGTTTTATTTGGAAAGATGACTTGCTTCCATGAAGCAAATTAGAGAGTTACATAATATATTTATATAATCTAGTATTAAATTGGTAGTTTACAATTCCAGGCAAAGCTCTAGAAGGCAGAGAGTGGTGTAGTCAGAAGTAGATTGTTTGAATGACCAATCAAGTTCCTCTTATGTATGGATGCAGCTCTGTGCTAGGTACGTTAGGCTCTCATGACCCTTTTATTTTATCACAGAATTTATACAACTTAAAGTATTTAAGCTGTCAATTAAAAAAAAAAGTACAATGGTGGGTTTAGTGGGGAGCAGAGAATAATATTCCAGGCAAGTGTTGAGACTGCATGGGTTAGCAGTGGAGAAGCAACCAGTTGAGAGACTTGGGTATTGATGGTCCTTCCATTGCCCAATCAGTGGATCTAGATTTAGGTCATTGTTGGTCGCTGGACCTCAGTTTCTCATCTGAAAATGAAGGGCTTAGTCTATATCCTCTTTGAAA